AAATGGTGACTTTCTAGACCCATCTTTCTACGTTTGTTAGTTGGCATTTTAATATAAAGATAAACTTTCCTTCTCATTTATTACTTGTTTACTTATTTATATCAATGTGGACTCATGGTTTTCTGTTTTCTTGAGTGGCATGTCCATGACTGCCATCACTAATTGATACTCAGATTGTTCCCACTTGGCCAGGGAAGCTCGCTTCCCCATGGCTCCTGGGTCCTTTGAACTCAGCCCTTATTTGGGCCTCATTTTGCTTCCTGGCATAGTAAGCTGCTCCAGGATTATCTGCCTTTTTCTAATCTTAGCCTGGAATCAGCCATTGCTCCAAGGAATCCTGGTTCTTTTGGTGGTGAATAGTATTTATAAACTAAAATTTCAATGCTAGAGGTGAGATGTTTCTTTTTAAAATGTCCTTTGAAATGTTTTTCTGCCCCCAGTGACCTGTGTGCGGGACTGATTGGAGGTCTTGGTGTGACCCCAAGTGGCAACATTGGAGCCAACGGGGTCGCCATCTTTGAGTCGGTAAGAACCCTCACACATAAGCAGAGTTGGGGTTGGATTAGCATGAGAATTCGGGAGGGATTATCAGTATGCATAGGCTTTAACTTGGGAGTTTTGCCAATGTAAAAAAAAAAAATGACACTTTGTGTATTTTTTTTTTTTTTTAATGTGGTGCTAAGGATCGAACCCAGTGCCTCACACATGGTAGACAAGTGCTCAACCACTGAGCTACAGCCCCAGCCCCTGTATATTGTTTTTTATATAGCCTTGTTTTTGATCATTTCTCTCTAGATATATCTTTATATATCCTTCTTCACTTATAATACTTTACCAAAAATTGACTGGAAAAAGATTGTTGGTTCATATTTTTTGAAATTAAATTAAAAAGTAGCTCTGTTTCTCCAAGGCTTTTCTTTTCTTCCTCTCCTTCCTCTCCTTCCTCCCTCCCTCCCTCCCTCCCTCCCTCTCTCCCTCCCTCAGTACTTAGAGATGGAACCCAGTGCCTCACTCATGCGCTGAGCAAGCCCTCTACTACTGAGCTACATCCCTCCAGCCCCTTTTATTCTTTAATTTTTATTATTGGTATTGGGGATTGAACCCGGGGCCCAGCATATACTAGGCAAGTGCTGTACCACTGAGCCAACCCCAAGTCCTATTTCTAAGATCTGTGTCAGAAGAATTGCACATAGTAGTTTTCAATAATTTTTTTTTTTTTGTTCTTGATGAGGAAAGATGATTGAGACCCCAGCTTCCCCAGAAGTAGGCAGCTTGATTTTTTTTTTTTATTACTCATGCTGGGGATCAAGTCCTGGAGCTTCTGCCTGCGAAGCACATGTTCTACAACTGAGCTCATCCTCAACCAAGGGCTTCTTGTTCTTGTCTCTCTCTTGCTAATGTTACTTTTCTTGATGTGTAGGTTCATGGGACTGCCCCAGACATTGCAGGCAAGGACATGGCCAATCCCACAGCCCTGCTGCTCAGTGCCGTGATGATGCTACGCCACATGGGACTTTTTGACCACGCTGCAAGAATTGAGGCTGCGTGTTTTGCTACAATTAAGGATGGAAAGGTATCTGTAATGTGACCTACTTGTGCTAGGTAAAATGCATTTCTTTCATGTGCATTATCTGCATGAAGGGTACACATAATAGCTCTTAAGAGAACCAGAAGATTTGACATTAAACAGGTATTCTAACTGTGGGCTCCCTGAAATGTGCGCACACACGTGCATTTTCTGAGGTGAGGATCTGAACACTTTATCTGAATAGGGTTAAGGAGCATTGATGGACAGTGTGCAATGGAAAGAGCAATGGGAGCCAGCCCAGGTATCCTGTTGTTAACTGTGTGATCTTGGCCAGCTCTTTTTCTTCTTAGCATAATGTTGTCAAAGCTGACCCCATTAATAAGAAACAAGGAAAGAAAGAAAATCTTATAATTTGAGATTACATTTTAGTCAAAATATAAGAAATGCAAGCTTTTGTTGTTGTTGTTGTTTTTTAAGTGCTGGGGTTTGAACCCAGAGCCTCTGGCCTCTTGCATGCTGGGTAAATGCTCTACCACTGGACCACATTCTCAACTTGAAGCTTGTTTTTAATAAGCTGACAGTAACTTTAGGGGTGTTGTCTTTTTTCTGAAGCTATATTTGAAGAATTATGTTCTAGAACCCAGCAAAGAAATGCTTAACTTACACAATAGACCTTCTTAATTGTGTAGAATGCAGATGTAAGATAATTAAACATATCAAAATCTGTTTATATTAAAGAGAGTGAGTTGTTAGAAAACAGATTGGTTGTATGAGAGATTTTTCTTGCAAAGAGTGAAATGTCAGAGTTAGTCATTTAAGTATTTCCTTGGTATTTGTTTCTCAGCCTCCAAAAATAGATCAGAGCCTGTCTAAAATTTTTTCAACTTTAAAAATTCCCCAAGGACTTTTCATGAAACCACTTGTTTAGATTTGTTTTCATTTAAATATCCATGATCAAGCACTATTTTTCTTAGGGTCTAATGTAAGAACAAAGGGAAAATTTTGGAAGATTTTCTTGGTTACTCCCTTTGTAGCAGGAGCAGCTCATTTTTTTAGTGTTTTTGTGTATGCTAGCTAGTTGGGTTTTCCCAGGCCTTTCTGGTGGGTGGATGGCATGTGATGGAATGACTTTGAAATGAGGAACTAAGCAAGTTATAGCAGGCAAGTTCCTTGCTCAGTTGGCGTCTCACTGAGGGCTTTAAATAAAAATTCTTTGCTTTAGTGTAGTATGTGGAAATGTTTTTACTTTTGCCTTTTTCTTTCCTCAGAGTTTAACTAAAGATTTGGGAGGCAATGCAAAATGCTCAGACTTCACAGAAGAAATCTGTCGCCGGGTAAAAGATTTAAATTAATGCCTCTACAGATGGCACTAGCTGCAGTCACTCCCAAGGGACACCACCGCATAAACCTCTCTCTAGAATACCTGCTATTATATGTGCATTTGGTTTGCTTGTTCCTTGACAGAGTACATTTTAGATCTGACCTTTTCTTAGGAAAGTCTGTGCAAAGGATGCAGGTGTGATGTCCCTAGGCCTGTTTTCGAAGGACTTTTTCCAAGTATTTCTTTTATTTATTAAATGTCTATCTGATAAACCTTTTTTGTAAACTGTACGTGGACTGTATCATTTGCCATTGTTAACCATTTTACACTTCAGTTAAAATAATTTTTCCTCAACTGTAAATATTATGATACAGATTAATAAGAGAAAACATCTAACTTTTTAAACAAAATCCTATTTTTTTTGGTATATGAAAATAAACTGGGATATTGGCATAATAGCACAAGATGACATAAAACTAAATGGGCATAAGAGAAACTTCTTGGGAAAGTTCATATCAAAATAGTGAAATGATATATTCCTTGATGGTATGGAAAATAACAGATTTGTCCTTTACATGAATTAATATGAATAAAAATTTCAGATCCAAGAAATATATAATGAGCAATGTAATTTTGTTAATAAGATATATAATATATTGGGTTCAAATCCAAAACTGCATTGTGTATTCAATTATTTTGTTAATCTTAAAATTTAATATTCTTTGCAAGAGCTCTTAGTGAAGCAAAGTAATTCTTTTTCACTGGACACATCATATGTGTCATGAATTGTCACAGCTTATGAGCCCCTGTACTGACACCCTGAGTTCAGGCCAAGGAGCTAACCATTGTGCACACTTACTCTTGCATGTCACTGTCTGGAAACAGACCGCACTCCAACTGGTACTGCCCAGGTGACACTGCTTAGTGGCCTGATCACTTTTTTGGCTGCAGTTAAGGAACTTGGGATGTTGGCTCTTGATTTTGCATTTCAGTGGCTTCCCCTTCGCCTCCCTCTAAGCACCAAATCACTGCCCTCTGCCACAACAGCACCAGTAAAAGATGCCATTGCAGAGACAGGAGCTGACAGCTCTAGCTGATTGACAGAATCATGCCATAATGGGTCCTGGGCTTATCCGCTTATGACCTTCAGGCATCTTTCCCCAGCCCCCTCTCTTCTGCTACAGCATGAATAGTTACCCTTTGGCCCCATACCAAATGCAACTCATGTCCTCCCTTGGCTCTTGTGTAAATTTGCAAACCCGTGGCTTTGCATAATGTACCCAGGTCACAAGGGTATTTCTTAACAACAAATATCCCTGTCTGGGTCAGTTTTTAAGCTTGTAACCAGACTTATAATCTTATGTGTATTTTACTTTGTTTTAAGCTGCCGCTTCCTCTGTTTTATTGGAATGTGCTAATAATCAGTGGCTCTTGGGTTCACGGTAATAAAGAATTCCAAAACCAATTGAGATGTATGCCTTCTCTGCCTGTTTCCTGGTCAGGCGCCTTAGGGCATTTTGGCTCAGCTTGTTGCTAAGAATGGAAGGGGTGGCCTGGTGGCTACAGGCTAACACTAGAATTGGCAGTTCCACTTGACCCTATCCCTGCACCTTTGTTTATTCCAGGGCACTAAGGTGCACTAATGCCTGTTGCATATAGTCCTGTGGGTTAAATACTACTCTGTCCAGCCTGCTCAATTGACACCCCCCCCCCCCCCCCCCCAAAAACAAAATTCAGGTACTTGTTGACAGTTATGTTAAAAGTTTAATATTCAAATTACACATTAAATACAGCAGCAGTTTTATTAAGCATCAAGTCGGTGTGTGCATGGTAGAGGAGTGCCTGGTAATGGATAATGGCATTGGCAGTGTTCAAGAAGATTCCAGAGTAAGTCAGACCATTAGGTGAACTATGACTTTTTGCTTTCCTTGCAGCCCACACTAGCAGCACAAGCTGTCTTCCCCTCATTCTTCTTCCCCAATAGCCTGTCACTGGTTGACCTATTATGTGAGCTTGTTAAATCTGCCTGGAACTAAGGCCAAAAATTAGCCCTTTAGTTTTGGAAGGAGAACCAATCTCACTTGTCAACTGAACATGAAACAATTACTTAAGCAGGATTTAAACTATCCACACATGAGGCTTCTCAGATTTGTAGATGAAAGTGCCATACCCTGACCTTGAGATAATAGATTTTGACAGTTCCCAGGCCCAGATTGAAGAGAATCTAGAGCTCAGGAGAATGCTGGAAAAGCCTGCCATCTATTCAGTAGAAACCACAGGGATGACTCCTGATTACTTTTTTTGTGCTTGGTAAAAGGAATCGATAATATCTTTGTACTTCTCCAGAACTATGAGCCGTTTTAATTTCATGGTGGGACCTAAAAGAGAAATTGGAAGAAATGCATGAGAGCCAGGCTCTGATAACTGAGGTGTATGTCAAAGATGCAGACTTAGTGAGTCCCCTAACTCAGGAAGCCAGACAGGTATTGAGGACCAGCTGACTATCCCACCTCCAAGACAGTGGGCCCCCCTCTGCATCACACCCCTTGTGGTGTTCCAGGGAACCCAGGTCTGTGTGACCAATGAAAAACAGGAAGTGATGTGATGTCACTTCCAGGAATAGGTTGAAAAGACTACATTTTCCAGTGCCTAATAAAGTGGTGTAAACCACATGCACCTTACCCATTCCAGATCCTCAATTTATTGCAATTGTCTCTTAAATGAATACATGCCTTTGTATCCATGGGGGATTGTTTCCAGGAGCCCCTTTGAATACCTAAGTCTGAAAATGTTTTTAGGTCCTTATATAAAATGATGTACTATTTGCATACAACCTATGCACATCCTATATATTTTAAATCATCTCTAGATTACTTAAAATACCAGATACAGTGTAAATAGTTGTTACACTGTATTGTTTATGGAATAATGACAGGAAAGAAAGCATGTACTGTATATGTTCAGTATAGACATAATTTTTTTTTCCCGAAATTTTTCATTTGTGGTCTGTTGAGTTCATAGGTTGAGGAACCCATAGACACAGGGCCTATTGGATATTCTACAGATTATAAAACCACAAGTCCGTGCACTGAGCAATCACTGTTCTCCCCAGGAGAGAGATGGTGTCATCCAAAGCCTTGTCTGAGACCCACTGCCCACGGCTACTTCCCAGCACTGCCATAGCCACTGTCTTCCCACACAGCCCCTGGGAAAACGAAAAGAAAAACCTACCCAACTCTCCTCCTGAAATGGAAAAGTCCCTCTCGAGAATGGCCCACTTCTGGATATGGTAGGGCCGGGCTGCTGCATTGGCATTGACCCTCTGGATCCCCTCTTCAATGGCCTGATACACAGCTTCGTCCTTCTTCCCCACGATTTCAGACACGGTGCTGGCTCTGCTGCCCACCCTCTGGCAGAACTCCACAGCTTGTTCAGTCAGATTATCAGTTGGGTCAGAGGTGTCTGGGTCCAGGGTGCACTGAAAAGCCACAGGACAGATGAAGACCAAGCCTTGCTCTATAGGACACAACCCATGGTCTTGGAGGTCTTATTGCTGAAAGCAGAGGTGTGGACCACTGTGAGCTATTTCAGAGATATGGGTCTATAATGAGCTGAATGTCACCAGGTTGGGCTCTGTGGTGTGGTGGAAGGGACAGTGATCTGAGAGAGACCTCAATGAAGTCATCTGTGAAACAGGGCTATCCTCCTGCCTGTCTGCAGCCCTGGGAGCCCAGGAATGCAGGAATGCAGGGAATTCCTTGCTGCAAGGAATGCAGGTAGGCAGCAGCACTTTGCACAATGAAATGCACTGGTAACAAGGAAAGGATCTTCTCAGTGGCTTGTTGGGGACAGAGGAATTTACCTGTGTATAACTGCTCCTGGAGTGCCAGTGGCACTGACTGCAGTGATTCCAGAACAAAGCCTTGAGATCCAGATGTCTCCTGGACTGAATGCAGATTCTGCTAGGCCCAACCCTCAGAGCACCTACCAGCTGCTCCTCCAGAGCAGTGTCCACCCCACACATACCTTCAAGGTGAGCAGCATGGACAGGAACTTCCTCTGGTCCCCGATCAGCATGGCATTGCTGATGATGGGCAGCTCCATTTTCACAGCCTCCTCAATAGGCACAGGGGGTACATTCTCCCCTCCGGCAGTGACGATCAATTCTGGGGAAGCAAGACCAGGCTGCAGCCTAGCCTATAGTCCAGGTGCCCTGGCTAAATGTCACCTGACCTGAGTCACAGCCTGGGAGGCTGGAGAGCAGGAAGCACTGCTGGGGATGCCTCTGGAGGAAGAGGCAGGCCAGGCTCTCCAAAGCACCTTGTGCCTGCTGGGGGATGGCAGCAGTTTCCCAGAGGACAACTGCCCACCCAGTATTCCCACTCTTCAGCTCATCTTTCAAGACTTTGCCTGCTCAGACAATGTAGCCCCAGGCCCCTTCTGTTCTTAAACAGGCCTCCCACCCCATTCTCTGAATAGCTGGTGTTGTTCCCCTCCTTCCTTGTGCTTTACCACCTCTCCATCACTCACATGGCACTCACCACGCACCAGTCACCGTGCTAGGTGCTTCAACAGTCATTCACTCAATCCTCGCAATAAGACTAAGAGGGAGGCTGTCTTATCATTTTGCAGATGAGGAAACTAAGGTACAGAGAGGTTCAGTAACTTTTCTAAGATCATATACCAGTAAGTGGTAGAGCTAAGATTTAAATCCAGTCCAGTTCCAAAAGTCCAAACCCACCCTGCTATGGTGCTTCTTGCTGTCCTTGTGTCTCTCACGGTATGTCCTCCTCCCTTCCCATCTGTCCAGCTCCGTTGCCTCCATCAAGAAGCCTTCTCCAACTCTCCCAGCCACACTGACCTCACCCTTCTCAGAGCTCTTCTAGCATCCTTTTGCCCAACCATTAGTGATAAAAACCTTTAGCAGATGAAATATGGAAAGAAACTTTTTAAATCTGATAAAGAATACCTATAAAAAATCCACAGCAAACATACTTAATGTTGAGAAGTTTCCCTCTGAGATCAGGACTAAAACAAATAACCACCATCACTTTTTTTTTCTCCCTCAGTGCTAGGAATCAAACCCAGTGCCTTATGCATGTGAGCATGCACTCACCACTGAGCTACACCCCCAACTTGACTGTTGCCAATTCTGTTCAACATTCCTCTGGAGAGAGGTGCTAACCTGTGCAATAAGGCAAGAAAAATTCACAAGGGATGAAAGGAAGAAATAAAACTGTTATTATATACAGATGATATAATTGTGTCCATAGAAAATTTAAAGTAAGACACACAGTACTGAACTACTATGTGAATTCATCAAAGTCATTTGATATGAGGCCAACATACCAAAAAAAATTGCATTTCTATTACCTGCAACAATTTCCCCTGTGAAATGGGGCTATGGGATTCCCCTGTCCGTGCTAGGGGAATGACACCCAGTTGGGCAACAGGATGGAAACACCTTTCCGTGGAGGGATCTCCAATTTCCTTTCTCCACAGGATAATTCTTTGAAGTCTAATGTTTCACTTTAATATTTGATTTATGTGTTATTCTCTATCACATCCATGTTTGCATATAAAACTATATAAGATTAATGCCTTGAATGTTCTGAAGGTCTTGCCTTTTTGCTCTCTCTCTTTTGGGGGAGGGTATAGGAGATTAAATCCAGAGGCACTGAGCTCCATCCCCAGCCCATTTTCATTTTTTAAAAAAATCTTAAAAAAAATTTTTTTTAAAGTCTCACTAAATTGCTAGGCTGGTCTCAAACTTGCTATCCTCCTGACTCAGCCTCCAGAGTTGCTGGAATTACAGGTGTGCACCACTGCACCTGCCCTTGCCTTGTTTCTCTCAGAAATGTAAATCCACCTCTACCATTTACCAGCTAGGTGACCTTGGGTAAGTTACTTAACCTCTCTGGATGTCCTCATTAAGGCAGGGTAGTAATAGTCCCTGCCCTAGGGGAGAGTAAATAGACTAAAATTATGTCAGGAAATGTGTGGCATGTAATAAGGGTAGGTAGCAGGTAGCAGGTATGAATAATGGTGGAAGCAGAATTTCTCTTATGCCTCACTGCGGCCTCCAGTGCCCAGCTGCAGCTGCCATGGGGGCTTACCTTTGAGGCGCCCAGTGATGTAGAGGAAGCCATCGGTGTCCAGGCGGCCAGTGTCACCTGTGTGCAGCCAGCCCTCAGAGTCTATGGCCTCACACGTCTTGTCCTCCATGTTCAGGTAGCCCATGAAGATGGTGCGGCCCCACAGGCAGATCTCTCCAATGCCCTCAGTGTCCTCATTCACCAGCTTCACCCTGCAGCCTGGCACCACCTTACCTGAGCTGAGATGGAGAGGTGGGCAGGAGGGGTCAGAGGATCCCATTAGGGAGCCTCAAGTCCCCAACCTCTCAAACTTCACTGATGACCAGGTATCCCCTGCCAGGGTTTTGGGGTTTTAAAGGGGGACTTGGAGCCTATAGGGCCAGCTAAAGGTTTTTCAGTGAATAAATGAATGAAATGCTAATGTTAGAATTTGGAGCGCTGTGATAGGCCGGCCAGGGAGGGAGGAATCGGAGCACAGCAGACGAGCCTTCACACCACTCCCCAGCCCTGACTGTCTTCCTTGCCTACTGGAAGGCTGGCCCTGACCCCTGGCTCCCACCTCAACTGGAGCCTGGCCATCAGCTCTCCTGGGACCCCCTCCAATACACCCCATTCTACTGGAGGCAATGGGGGAAGGACATTCCTTCATCAAGAGAAGCCTGTTCAGGGGGTACTTGAGCTGTTAAGGCTATTTTCAGCCATAGATCCACATGTCATGGTGGAAAAGACCCCACTGCACCAAGGAGGACAAGCAAAGGGCCTGGCCCAAGATGATGATGTTGGCTCTTGGAGGCTCCCAGCCCAGGGGCCAGATGTCCAGTGTGGAAAGAAGAGCCAGCTCTTGGGGCACTCAATAGGTAGGCACAGGGACATGCGGGCATGCGTACATGTTGCAGCTTGGGACCTCACCTATATAGCCGGTAGGTGTAGGGGCTGGACATGAAGTGGGGGCCTGTGGTCTCACTGAGGCCATAACCCGCATATAAGCGGATGTTGAGGCCCAGGAAGAAGCGCTGTGTCTCTGCAGTCATGGGGGCAGCCCCGTAGAAGCTCTTCTGACACTTGGCAAAGCCCAGTGTCTGACGGACCTTGGCTAGCACCAGGTAATCTGCCAGTCTGGTTGTGAAGGGCTTCAGGTCACTGGTGGGAGAGGAAGAATGGTCCATGGAAAAAAGGGAACACACAGACATGTGAAAGGGTGTGTATTCCATGTGTATATACTGGCACAGCCATTCTGGTTGTCTAATTGTTGATGTCAATGCTGAACCTGTTGTTAAATAATTTGAATATTGGCCCTGCCATATCCGTGTATGCGAATGAAGATGCAAATGCATACAGTTTTGGGCAAATATGCCTTGAGCCAGGAAATCAGATAAGCAGGTTCAGCTGTATACAGATGCACAGGCAACAATCAGATACATGCAAATTTGCAACCCTATAACACACACACACACATAGATTTTAAGTCTATATTCACAGACACACAGGTATAATTATACACACAAGTATGATCCTATTTGAGATCCACAGATATTTGCACGCATATTCACTTCATGTGTATAAATGAAGCTGTAGGTGCATAGATGTGTCCACAGTTCTCATGAAATACGACACTGTTTCATAAACATACTGGTAACAGAAACTATTGCTATTTGAAATTGAAACCTCACTAGATTTATATGGTTACCCATGTAACAGTACTTTGTGAGAATTTAAAAAGCAATCAGAAAGGGTGGGAATGCCAGACACGATGGTGTACGCCTACAATTCCAGAGACTTGGGAGTCAGGATTGCAAGTTTGAACCCAGCCTGGGAAACTTAGCAAGACCCTGTCTCAAAATAAAAAAATTAAAAGAGCCAGGTACTGTAATCCCAGAGGCTTGGGAGGCTGACAGAAGGATTGCGAGTTTAAAACCAGCCTCAGCAACCTAGTGAGGCCTTGAGCAACTTAGCGAGATCCCATCTCAAAACAAAAAAAAAAAGAAAGGGCTGAGGATGTGACTCAGTGGTAGAGCGTTCAAGCCATAGTCTCAGTCTCTTTCTCTCTCTCTCTCTCTCTCTCTCTCTCTCTCTCACACACACACACACACACACACACACACACTCACACCACATGGGTTGGGGGTTAAGGAGAGGTCTGAGTGGCCGTGTGGGATGCCTGAGAAGGCTGGAAAGGATGAACCTTCATAACAGTGGGCTCTTCTATCCCCACCTATCGAGGTCAAGGGACCTCAGGAGACTGGTAGGGCTGCTGCCAGGAAGGTGGACTTCTCTTTAGAGGGAGACAGTCTTCCCATCCAGAACCCAAGATGCCAACTGTCCCCATAAGGGCTGCAATGAGTAAAGGAGTGCAAGTCTCACTTGTTGATGTGGCCTCTGCACAGGGGTCCTCAGAACTTTCAGGCCCCTGGGGCTGGGACGAGCCTATTGGATCTTTGGTGTATATAGATAGTGAGCCAGCCCTGCTGGCTCCTATTCCCTGGCCCTCTGTACCTGGTAGGGCAGGTGAGGTTCTGCTCTAAGGTCACCGACATGGCCCACAGCAGCATCTTACGACGGATGAAGCCGGACTGAGCCGCCACCTCTTGGATCTTTTCCATGATCTTCTCCCACACGCGCGGCACACCCATGTGGGAGGTGGGCTCCACTTCCCGCAGTGTGTTCACCAGACTCCCCTGTTCACCAATTGGGAGAGTCAGGCCTCTTGTTCAGGGCCAGCCGGGTCCTGCATCTGATCAGGTGTGCACACACCACACAGCGCAGCTGCTGCACACAGATGTGTGCACACACTCACACCCGGCCTGCAGCACAGGCTATTGGCTGTGGCTCAACAGTTGTCCCCTCACACTCCACTAATAGAAACTTGGTGTCATTTGGGTACCAGATGGCCAGGTGCTTCAGAAGTACCTTGGTCTCTTTCTGCCCCCGAGGTTGGTGACTCTTTGTTTGTCTAACTTAAATCTAATAACCTCATTCCTCCGAGTAGCTAATGCTTTAGGATTGAACATGGTCCTAAGGACATGTGGCATTGTGTGGGCCAATGATGCTGGATCAGGAAAGCCTGCTGATGGGTTTCTGGGAAACTTTTCTCATGGTTAAAATAAGGATCCAAAGAATAGGTGTAGTTTATGCAGCGGGAATACAGGGAGGGGCTGTGGCCACCTGTGATCATCTCATGATCCTCCTCTGAGGAGGTCTCCTTGATGGTGCTATAGACCCAGCAAACCATTCTGACTCAACTTACTGTAAAGCCATCAGTTTCCCTATTTGTTTGGTCATTTGAGTCAGGCTATGCAATGTGCAGCTGGGAGAATTCTGCCAGATAAATGCACAAGGAACTAGCAGACCCACAGATGTACACGTAAGGTCCCAGATTAGAGTATGGATCAGGCATGCTCTTGCTCATACACTGGACACCCACATGGCAGAGAGGCAGACTGACCTTCAGGGCATCGGGCTCAGCAAAGCAGACCTGCGCTCCCCACTGGATGCCCGTCCACAAGTCATAGATCTGGGCAGCAATGTGGCTGAGGGGCAGGTAGCTGACCACCACCTCTTGCTGGACTTCTGCTGGCTGGATGTCACCAGCCTGGCTGCCAAATCGTGCTGTCCACGTGATCTGGAGGGCAGGCAGATGGGCCCCAGCAGTGTTCACAGCCAGCTCTGGCAATGCTCACAACTGTGGCCATGCTGGGGACTTGGAGCTACTTCTTTGGGGACCCACTGAGTGGATACCCTCCCAGGTCATTCTGCAGTTCCTGGAAACAAACCTCCATGGATAGGCCTCCCCTCACTCTTTCCCCTCCCAATTTCTGTGTTCAGTCTGGGCCACAGACCTGTGGGCTCTTACTTATCCCAGCTCCCTGAGCTGAGGACCTCCCCAGAAGTTATTGGGACAGAGCCACCCAAGCCACCCATCTTGTCATCTGTCCTACATTGTCCTGACTCAGCATCACGCCCTTGGGGTTCCCAGTGGTGCCCGACGTGTACACTAGTACGCAGCACTGGTTGGGCTGCTGAGCATCGATGATGGTGTCCAGGGTCTCTTCGGATATCTCATGCCCCAGCTCCATGAATTCTTCCATCTGTGGCCAGGTGGGGAAGAGCAACCAGTCCAGATCATCTGGGTGGGCCCAGACAGCCCCACCTGTCACCCAGGGGTATACACACTACCCTACCGTATACACATTGGTTATCTTCTTTGAAGGAGATTCTCCGTATATCACTACTGCCTTCAGATGTGGCAAATTTTTCCAGATCTGTATTGACAGGGGAAGCAAACCAGGTTTCAGCAAGAAAAATGTTACTTTCTGAAAAGAAATCCCATCCTCCCACCAGCAACAGTCTGTTTGGCAGGCACTGTGTGACAAAAGTCTCTGGGTTCCCTATCTCTGATCTTTGACCCCAGCAGAACAATTGCCACCCTTTGTCCATAGATTTACATCATGGGAACTTGGAAGCAGTGTCAGTGGGGACAGGCAGGGGCAGGGGAAACCACCAAATGATATAGGACCTGGGTGAATACAATGATCCAGCTGCACAATGGAGCACTAGGTAACCACAGGTTAGAGAGGGACAGTGCTAAACACTGGTATAGAGTGGGTTTTTAAAAAATATTACTGACAAAGGAAATGTGTACAATAAGCATGTAGCATGCTACCTTTGTATAAGAAAGGAATACAACGCAAACATACATGAATATATATATATATATATATATATATATATATATATGCAAATATTATTTGCTTATGTTGTCAAAAGGAACCCTGGAGGGTTAAACCCCAAACTAACAGACTAAGTATAAGCAGAGAAAGAAACAGGGGTAAGAAGCAGGGGGGCAAGAATTCTTTGAGTGTCTCATAGAATTTTGATTTTGTCATCATGTAAATATTATAATCATTTGAAAAATAAAATTATGTAAAAGATGGAAACAACAATTCTCTAAGAGTCAAAAAACAATCTGAAAGAAACTAAGATTATAGACGAAGTTGGTGACACAATCATGCATATGCACACATATGAGCACATGAGCACAGACACACAGAAAATTACATGAAGGGATTTAAAACGGTGCACTTTGATTCTTCTTTCTTAGTGGAATGCACTCTAAGGACAAAAGAGAATTCCAAATTTCATTCTGTAGTCTTATTGTTGGGAATAATATCTACATTATTATTCGGAAATTATTTGATATATACCATAAAATTAGGTTGATGTAATTAGGAAGTAGGATTTTTAGGGTCAGATAAAAGAAATGCAAGAATAAATCAAAGAAAGTAAGTTAAAATCCTTCCGTGTAATGTTTGAATCCAGAACTATCATTGTGAACTCATGATTTATATATATATATATATAATTAGATCAGAGCTCAGAAAAGTCAAGGTGGCTCAAATGTGTGAGACACTACACCAGAGGGGAGAGAACTATATAGAGAAAGTTCCAGAAATATTTCTAGGGGTCTTCTTGAGCAGTGTTCATGGCCAGCTCTGGTAAGCTGGGTGGGCCCAGATAGCCCCATCTATCACCCAAGGGTATACACACTACCCTACCATAGTGTCCTACATTGTCCTGACTCAGCATTACGCAGAGTCTTATCTACTTGCACAGACATAAGGGGAAAATCCATGAGGCTGGAGGAAGCTAAGGACTGGACCGACAAGACAAACAAGGAGGCACCTAGGAATTCTTCAAGCTTCCATCAACCAGTCATGGGGGACCTCCTGGGGCATTAAGCAGAGACCCAGAAGGGTCATGTCTACTATGTGAGGCTAAATTAGCCTTGGTAGAGGCTATCTACACCAGTACTATAGTGCCTCAAAATGAAGTTTAGAAAAGAGAAAAATTATTTGTAGGACAATATCAAGACATCTAACATCCATGTAACTGGAGTCTCTCCCAAATTTTTTTTCAAAAAAATTTTTTAGTTGTAGATGGGCACAATACCTTTATTTTGTTTATTTATTTTTTTTATGCAGTGCTGAGGATCGAACCCAGTGCCTCACACATGCTAGGCGAGCACTCTACCACTGAGCCACAACCCCACCCCCCAAAATATATTTTAAAATAAAAGAAGTCTGAGAAATTTCTAAGTTGGATTAAAACAATAAATCTACCAATTCTAGAATCCCAAGCAAAATAAACATCAAGAAAACCTACTCCAAGACACAACATAACCAAATTGCTGAAAACTAGTGATTTTAAAAGAAACAGGCACATTCTGTGGAGAGGAACAAAGATAGGAACTCACAGACTTCATACCAAAAACCAAGAAAATGGGACTGAGATCTTTAAAATGCTGAAAGAAAAGAGGAAATCTTGTCAACCCAGAATTCTATACCAGATGAAATTATTTTTTTCTTAAATGAAGGAAAAAATAAACACTTTTCAGACAAAGAGACGCTGAGGATATCTGTTGACATCCAGCCTGGAATGTCAGCAAGGGATGTTGAAGGTAGTTCTTCAGTCAGGAGGAAGACAATATCCAATGAAAACTTGGATCTACACAAGGAAGGCAGGGTCAGGAATGGCAAAAATGTGGGTGAACGTAAAAGACCCTCTTCTTTTAAAATTTCTTCACAAGATATTCAACTGTTTAAAGCAAGAATAGTACCAATGTATTGGGGTTTACAAGCTATATGGAAGTACCGTGGATGATGATAAAGACGGGGGAGTGGAAGTGCTATGGTCTTCTGCATCAGAAGGGGATTTTGCCCAGGACTCCCTGGTATTGGAGGATACCAAAATCCAAGGATGCACAAGTCCCTTACATAAAATGGCATGCTATTGTGTGTAACTTTTGCACATCCTCTCACAGATTTTAAATAATCTCTATATGATTTATAATGCCCAATACAATGTAAATGCTATGTAAATAGTTATTATTATTATTATAATTGTATTGTTTAGGGAATAATGACAAGGGAAAAAGTTTGTTCATGTTCAGTACAGATGCATTTCCTCTCCAATTTTTCCATATGAGGATGGTTGAACCGCAGATATAGAGGAACAACAGTATGTTTTGTGAGTTCCACATTACATGTGAAGTGATGTGATATTTAATGGTAGTAGCTGGATGCAGTGGCACACTCCTATAATCCCAGTGGCTCAGAGGGTGGAGGCAGGAGGATCATGAGTTCTAAGCCAACCTCAACAGTGCTGAGGTGCTAAGCAACCCTAAACAAAATACAAAATAGGGTTGGGGATGTGGCTCAGTGGTTGAGTGCCTCTGAGTTCAATCTCTGGTACATGCCCCCCCCCCAAAAAAAAAGATTATACCATAATGGGGGTTAGGGATGTAGCCTAGTGGTTGAGTGTGTGATTAACATGTGTGAGATCCAGGGTTCAATCTCTGGTAAACCTCCCTATCCTAAAAAGAAAACAAGAAAAGAAAGGAAAAAGAAAAGAAAAGCATAATGTGATAAATTAAAGATGTATATTTTCTCAGGAGATTGAGACAGGAGGATCACAAGTTCAAGGCCAGGCTAAGCAACTTAGTGAGACCATCTCTCAAAATAAAAAATAAAAAGGGTTAGGGATGTAGCTCAGTAATAGAGCACCCTGGGTTCAATCCCCAGGACTGAAAAAAAAAAAAAAAAGCAGCAAGCATATTGTAAAGTCAACAGCAAACAATGATATAGAGGATAGCTAATAAGCCAATGGAGATAAAATGGAATACTAAAACAAAACGAAAACTCAATACAGAACAGGAAAAGGGAGAAAATGAAAAAAGAACAGGGCTGGGATATTGTAGCTCAGCTGTAGAGCATTTACTTAGCATGTGCGAGACGCTGGGTTTGAGCCCCAGGACCTCAAAAGAAAAGATGGAAGGAAAGAAGAGCAAATGGGAAACAGAGGAAATAACCTAGTTATATGCTGCCTACAAGACATAGCTAGGTTAAAAATAAAAGAAATCTAAAAATGTATCCATGCAGGGCTGGGGTTGTGGCTCAGCGGTAGAGCACTTGCCTTGCACTTGTGAGGTACTGGGTTTGATCCTTAGCACGGGCATAAAAATAAATAAAGACATTGTGTCCATCTACAACTAAAAAAATATTTTAAAAATGTATCCATGCAAACATTAATCATAAGAAATCTGGAATGTCCACATCACTTGAGGCAAAGTAGTTTTAAAACCAGAATTATTACAATGGAGAGGGAAGGGTTAATTCATCAAGGACATAACAATCTAAATATGTGCATGTCTAATAGCAGAGCTCCAAAATCTGTGAGGTGAAAACTGGTATAACTGAATGACAAAAATACATAAATCCAAAATAACAACAGAAGATTTCAACACTCCCTTTCTCAGGATTTGTTCTTGTGTGTGTTTGTGCTGGATATGGAACGCTGCACCTCACATATGCTGAGCAGTCTCTCCACCACTGAGTTACACCTCCAGCCCCTTTCTCAGTGTTTGATGGAACAAGCAGGTGAAAAATCCATAGGTATACAGAAGACTTGAATAACATTATAAACCACAGACCAGATCAACATAATTAATATTTATAGAATACGAAATAACATATTCTTTCTAATCCTCATGGAACAATTGCCAAGATGGACGATTATTTCTTCTACCACACCTGCTCTGTGCAAACAGTATTTCAGGTACCAAAGAGCCTCAGGAGACAGCAAGTTCTTCTTTTGGAGAATAATTCTGGCTGATGCATTAGCAAATCAAATCACCAGCAAATCAACATTTTCCACCTCTCATGAAATAATTAGTTCAGCCAAAGCAAACCAATGGATGCTAAAAGCATCAGGGGAAGGTTGCTGGGGAATGTCGCAATGAAAGAGAAGGTGATCACCACTTGGGTCCAGATGTTGCTCAGCATCACTGAGAATGCTAGCACCTGACATCTGAGTCGCTTGAGGCCCAGCATTATGAAGTACACAGCGCCACCTAGCGGGTGTCCTTGCCAGAAAAATTCTCATCTGAAACATTTTCCCTTAGGAAATATAGAGGTTACAGGAACAAGTTAAAGGACAGCAAGAGAAGACACATCCAGACCGTGAAGCCTTCTGCAAGATGGCTGACCTGGCTTCAGCAGCACCTCTACAGCAGAGGTTATCACCTCCAGTATGCTTCAGAACCCCAAAAGGGCTGGCTAAACACAGTAGTCCTAGAATATATTTAATAGGGCAACAGGGGTGAAAAAGAATTTGCTTGACTCTGTCTCATAAAGGAATAATGGGTGAACTATTACTAAGGCTGTAATAATGAATGGTAAAATGAAGTTGAATATGAAGAATTGTGTCTTGGTTGCTTTATCTACAAAAAATCTACCTCAGATTCATTCTAAACTAGTTCTATTGTAAGCAATAGCTGAGAGATTAGTAATTATGGTTCCCCTCGGAAGGATACTTGTCCTTACAGTAGTATGTAGCCTACAAATTCTGTTGCTGTTTACTGTGAATAAAGAACAATTCTGATATGTCATGTTGTTGATTTTCTTTTTGGTTTTGGGGGTTGAAAGACTTTTTTTTTTTTTTTTTTTTTTGAGACAGTGTCTACACTAAGTTGCTGAGACCGGCCTCAAACTTGCAATCCTCCAGCCTCAGCCTCCCAGGTCACTGGGATTACAGGTGTGTGTCACTGCACCCAGATGACATTTAATGTTTTAAAATAGGTATAAAAGCCATAGTAAAAGTCTAAGCCTACATGTAAGAATAAACAGATAAACAATATGGAGGCTCTATTTGCATGTAGATATCAAACAAGTCAGTCATACATTATATCTCAGAAAATGTGGGTGGTAGAAGAAAATGGAGTTATTGCACTGGACTTATAACTATGGCTATAAAAAATGCCATGAGAATTTGAATGATGAGGCATACTCCTAGGAAGGAGCCACAACTTCATCATGCCCAGATTTTACATGGGACTGGTAAGTCAGTGAATGAGTGGTTGATAGTTTTGATTAGGGGGTAGGTTTTTGAATGTTAGTTATTAAAGTTTCTATAGTTGAATAACAATGATGATTTTCATGTCATTAGTCACGGTTGGATTCCATGGAAAATAATGACACATACTGTATTTTTATTAAGTATACTTTAAATTTTTTTTCGTAGTTGTAGATGGACAGCATGCCTTTATTTTATTTATTTATTTTTACATGGTGCTGAGGATCAAGCCCAGTGCCTCACACGTGCTACCTATGGGGTGTCCTGCCACTGAGCTACAGCCCTTAAGTATACTTCCCCCCCCAACAAGATCTTCTTCAAAACCTCACCAATTCATGGTAGGTTGAGTTTAATTATTAGTGCAGGGAGGATTGGTTGTGGGATTGTGTATATTTTGGTGGGTCGTTTATAGGATTAATAGTCTCTTAAATTTATTTAAGGGGAATGTAATATTTGGGTATAGTACAGCTATAGCTATGGAAGAGTACCCTGAAACTAGAGGGTCTGATATGATAATTTGAGGTGCTTTGTTGTTGGGATTTTTTTTTCAAAGTTTTCACTTAGCGTATATTTAAAAAATATTTTTTTTATTATAGATGGACACAATACCTTTATTTTTATGTGGTGCTGAGGATCGAATCCAGTGTCTCACATGTGCCAGGCAAGTGCTCTACAATTGAGACATAACCTCAGTCCCTGTGGTTGGGATTTTTAATGGAATTAATAATTGTAATTTGTCAAGAAATGGAAATTGTTATTTAATTTAAAAAGTTATAGCTCAGTTGGTAAGTGCTTTTCTAGCATGCACAAGGCCCTGGGTTCAATCCCCAGCACCACAAAAACAAATAAACAAACAAATAAATAAAAATTTTAAAAAAAGAATTTAGGGGATGGAATTGTGGCTCAGTGGCAGAGCACTCATCTAACATGTGTGAGGCCCTGGGTTCAATCCTCAGCACCACATAAAAATAAATAAATAAAATAAAGATATTGTGTCCAACTACAGCTAAAAAATAAATATATATAAAAAAAGAATTTAGAGGATTGGGTTATGTTTGAGGGTGAAGAACTTGGTTTCACTCATGAAGATTCTATGGGTGTGGCTGCACTGTATAGTTATGGAAGTTGGGTAATAGTTGTAACTGGTTGATCTTTGTTATATTTTCATTGTGATTAAAATTACTCATGGAAAAGTGTTGAGACTAAGATTATAGAGAGTATAAATGATAAGAAGTAAAATTTAATTAGTCCCTTTTGATTACAGGTGAAGGTGGAAGCTATAATTTGAATGTGGGAGACAGATTTGGGGGTTGTTTTTTCTAGTCAATTAATTAAGTCCAGTATCTAGGAGTGGTGGTAGGTGGTGGATAATTGTTGGAAAGAATCCTAGAAGATTTGAAAATTTAGAGACATTAGAGTAGGGTTTGATTAAGATTTGTTTAAGATTAAAGGTCAGCAGGTGGAGATTTATGGCAATGGTAAAATCTAAAGTATTAACTACTAGAACTGTCTATGGTAAGTAGGGTGATATAGGTATAAATGGGACGGTTATGGGGGTGATGTTACTGAAGATGCAGATGCCAGCAAAAATGATGCCAATTGTGAGATGCTTAACTGAGTTAATTAATAAAAAGCTATTTTCATTAATACAAACTAATGTTAAAAATGGTGTCCTAGTAGAGGGAAGGAAATGATGCGTGTCCTCTGAACAGCTGTGAGGGAAGCAGCAGTGAGCATGACTGGTAGTGGTCAAGGTTGGTATAGGTGTGTTTGCTGTTGGCGGACTCGGTGATGAAGTCTTTGGAGTAGAAGATGCTAAGAAATTATGTTCCTGTGAGTGGCCAGCCCCACACGAGACCTGGGTGGGGCCTGAAAACTTGTTTTTCTGGAAAGTTCCCATGCAATGCTAATTTGGGGACAACACTATTCCATGGGAAATAAAAGGCAATGCTTTGCTCTTAATTAATAGCCACCTAAGAGACACCCCACATGCAATGTGTGGGCCTGCTTTAGAGCCTGATTCAAATAAATCAACTGTAAAATGATAATCAGTGGGGAGACAGAAAGCAGAACAGTGGTTGCCAGGGGATGGGAGCAGGTGTAATGGGGAGTTTTTGTTTTGGGGGGTTATTTTTTTAATTAAAATTTTAAAACTGACACATGATAATTATACCATGTGCTTTTTGGATACATGTAATCATCGTGTAAGGATCACATCAGGGTACTTCGCATAATAATCACCTCAAACATTTATCATTTCCTGTGGTGAGAACATTTCAAAATCCTCTTTTTTAACTATTTTGAAAGGGAGCTGTTTAATGGGTACAGAGTTTATTTTGCAAGATGGAAAGACTCTTGGAGATGGACAGTGCCTTCTAAGAAATATTGCCCCGAAGATCTGGATCATAGCCTGAGCCTGTCCTGGGAAGGAATTCTGCTGCCATCTATATAGGAGTGACTGGCTCCAGACTGTGTTTTTGTTTTTGTTTTTCTTTCGGATTTGAGGAGACTTCCCACTAAGGATGAGGGAAAGCACCCACCCTGGCCTCTCTGGAAATCCTGTGGTCCTGGAAGGTTGGAGACCACTAGACCTTCAGGTACAGATGGGGAGACTGAGACCCAGGTGACATCTTCAAAATCAGAGCCAAGCCAATAAATCCATCTGAACTCTCCTCTGGAATGCAGGGAGACCTGGCAGACCTCACAGGCTTCTGGGTGCAGTTGGGGCACATAGGCGTCACCAGGCCACTGCAGCCCAGAATGGAGCATGTGGGATGGAACCAGTCACTGGCCGGCTTTAAATGAATTAGGGAGAATTGACAATGCTCCAGAAAAGATCCAGCTGGCTCAAGAGGTACTTCAAGCTCCTGCCATTGCCCATCATTGGAAGGCACTGGGGTGCTTGCTCTGACTTGGCGTCACCCCCACCCTGAGGCAGCCCTCATCCCCATTCCCATTTAGACAGGATTGCTCAAGCTGTTAGAGCCCAGAGCGGCCCTCATACACACATCCTTTCCACCAGCAGAGGGCCCCACTGCCCACCACTCTTGTTCCCCTTCTGGGGAGACCCTGTCCTGAGAAGGGAAGCTATGGGAGGCAGTGGGCTGCCAGGAGTCCTAGTCTAAGACCTGACCACTCATTTCCTGAGTGACCTAGTCCCTTTAGCTTTGTGGACCTCAATTTCCTGACCTATCAAATGGGTAGGTAACTATCGCTTGCTCCATGCACGGGTGTAGGTCGTGGGAGATCGGAGTTGCTATTGAGGATCAGGGGAGACTCTGGATGGGAGCAGGGAGCATCCTTGGTAGGCTAGAGTAGAGGTCCATGAGAACAGCCAGCCTCTGACCCCATGCCCACTTCCCCGTTCCCCCAAACCTTCAGGATCTTCTCCAGCTGCTTCTGTGTGTCGACCACAATGATGTTGGCGCGGCAGTCACGGGCGATATATTGGCAGGCCTCAGGAGAGCTGGTCGTGTAGATGCCGGTGACAATGCCACTGAAGGAGATCCGGGAGGATTCATATCTGGGCAGGTGCCAAGGGGGCATCCCCTGGCCTTCACTCCCCCATAACTGTAGCCCCGGGCCCTAAAGAGCTCCCATGGCCAGAGCAGCCAGGGTTCCCTTGTCATCTCAGCACAGCTGCCTCTGGCAGAGAGGGGACAAGAGGAAGGTCCCAGGGAGAGAAGGGATGTTGGGAGTGGGGGACCGCTACAAAGAGAAAGTGATCTTTTTTCTACTTTCTGCCTACCACCAACCCACTGCAGACACCACCCACCCCTACCCAGCCACTTACCCTGCAAATACTGTGCCCACTGCAGAGAAGAACCACTCTGGGGAGTTGAAGCCGAGAATGGCCACGCTGTGGGCTCGCTCCAAGCCAAGCTCCAGGTCAAAGGCAGACAGTATAGGTCAGCCAGACAGTGAAGGGGGCCTCACCCCACCTCCCCTGTGCCCTGGGACTCGGCAGGTTTATCTTAGTCAGAGATCCCCCTGGGGGATCACGCAACAACCCTTGTGGCCCCCTCCCAGGGCTTTCCTAGGGAATCCAGTCCAGCACACGAGGCTTCCCAGGCCTCCTTGAATGTGATATCAAATGTAAAGCTTTATGGAGTTCCTGGTACATGAGGAAGGCTCAATAGATATGAAATCCTCAGTAGAGGTCCCAGCACAACGTATTCGTTCAATGAATGGGGATGTTTTTTAAGATTATGACTTCTAAGGGCCTCCTTTGGCAGGGAATCAGGGAGGAGGCCTTTGAGGGCCCAAGCTGGAAGGCAGGTCTGGGGAGAGGAAAGGACATGCTCTGAGGGGCTCCTCACCTTCAGGAAGCCCTTGGCGACTTTGCGGGCAATCAGGTAGTACTGAGAGTAGGAGACGTGCTCCCACTTGCCCTGGCGCTTGAAACCCAGAGCATTGAGGTCCCCATATTTGTCCAGGGCCTCATAGAACATCCGGTGCACGGTGTAGGGAAGCTGTGGGCAGCAGGGGTCCAAGCGCAAGCGGACTCGCCCATCAGCCCGAGTCGTCCATAGTGCTTCTTCTGCAGGGAAGAGACCACAGCTTGGTCAGGCCCTTTTGGGGTTGTTTCCAGGGGAACTGCTCCTGTCCTGGGAAGAACTTCCCTGCCCTACTGGTGCTAGAGGAGGAGGTGAGACTCAGCCTTCAAGGATGAGCAGAGTCTAGGGATGCAGCAAGGAAGAGGAGAGGGAATGGCTACAGGAGAGCTGGGGGCCCTAGGGACGCTGAACTTCCAGACCTCGTTCACCCCAGCTGGGGTTTGCCTCCCAAGTTTGGGTGGCTGGCAGCGGAGCTTGCACTGTCTGGGAACAGTAGGACTGTCAGAGCTCCAGGGTTTTCTTGCTTTCTGGGAATGGGTGGGGACAGGTTCAGTTGGACAGAAGGTCAGAGCATCAAGGAGAGAGAGCATCCCAAGGACCTTGGGGGTGGTGGGCTGGAGACCAGCAGGTCCTGGTTCCTAACATGTAAAGTCTTCAGTGCTGGAAAGTAAGAGCAGCAGACTGCTCATTCCGCCTCTCTTGAACCCTCTCACGCAGGCTTCATAGGATGAGCTTGGAGAGGCCCCATTCACAGATGAGCGGCTGCAGCTCAGACAGGCCAGGCACTTGCCCAAGGTCACACACCAAGGAGTGGCAGAGTCAGGACTCCAACACAGGTGTGCCTGATGCTTCAGCCCATACTTGGGACACTTATTGAGGCACCACCCAGCCTTTGTGGCTTTCTTACTCTGTATGGCAGATGGGGACACAGACTGGCAGTTTAGTATGTGAGATTTCAGGCCAGCATCTCACCCCTGAGTCTGTTTCCTCAGGGGAAAGGTGAAGATCCCATTCTCAGGGTCAATTTGATGGTTGAAACAAATGGTGTACATCAAAGAGTCCTGGTATATAGCTGGTGCTCAGTAAATGCACTTTCCTTCTTCCTCCTTTTCCAAGTTCTTCAAATTGTTTAAAAAGGAAGGTTGGGGCTAGGGTTATGGCTCAGTGGTAGAGTGCTCGACTCGCAAGTGCAAGGCTCTGGGTTTGATTCTTAGCACCACATCAAAATAAATAAAAAAAAGTTAAAAAAAAAAGGAAGGTTGGATGAGTGATCTGGAGCCTTTGGGTCTCCTTTCCTGGGGCAAAGATGGTCATCCTAGAAGATGACCACAGAGAAAGGAAGGGGCAAGGTTGGCCAGGACAAATGGGGTTGCACTGCTTTCTGCTGGCCAGACCCCCACCAGTTATCCATTTTGGAGGTGGCACTGAAGCCAGAATTAGACAGGCAGTCAGTATAGATAGGTAAATAGAGTCAGGTCAGATCTAGTTAGGCCAATTTTGAGTGAGTCCTGGGAAGTTGGAGACTGTCCCCTGAGGGAGTGAAATATTCCTTCCTTCAGAGCCCTTCCTCCACCCTTATCAAGAATCTCCCCCTGCTCCAACCTGTTGCTAAGGTAACCTGTCCCAGGGATTGCCCCTCCTACAGGGAGCTATAAAGTTGTTAATTAATGTGTCCTGGGCTGCTCCATTCTGCCCTTCCTCCTTCAGCCCACCTGTTTCCTACCTTTTGGCCAGCCCACCCGAGCATTCCTGGGCCAAGTCAAATGCCTAGTCGGTATGCAGGAAGGAGAAAGATAAGGGGAAGAGGCAGGAGAACAAAGGAAAACTAGGTGTATAAAAAGGCAAAGCACTCTCGCTTCTTGGGATACCAGGATACCAGCTATGGCCTCCTTCTCCCTCCCAGAAGAAGTCTATGTTATCCCTTTTTAAATAAACTCTGCTTTATTTGCTGGTCTCGGCGTGCTTCTCTAATGTTCAAACTTCAACATGTGAGGAAGCAGAACTCCACAGATAACCGAGGGTATCAGCACAACAGGATGCCCTGTCATTGGTCCTTATCCAAGTTCGAGGGCTGGATGCCCTCATCCCTTCTCTTTGATACTCATAGGTTGCATGCAGACTCTGAGGTTGGCAGAAAGAGGTAATATCTGGGGTCAGAGTTAGGACAAACCATTTCTCTTCTTCTGGAGGGCCAAGTGTTGGGGACAAGGGGACATATCCAGACCCAAATAAGAGAAGAGAATATGCCTATGGCTACAATTCCAGATACTCAGGAGGCTAACGCAGGAGGATCACAAGTTCAAGGCAAGTCTCAGCAACTTATCAAGGCCCTAAGCAAATTATTGAGGCCCTATCTCAATAAAAAGTAAAAAGTGGGCTGGGATTGTGACTCAGCGGTAGAGCGCTCGCCTAGCACGGGCGGGACACAGGTTTGATTCTCAGCACCACATAAAAATAAAGGCATTGTGTTGTGTCCATCTACACCTAAAAAATAAGATAAAATAAAAAAGTAAAAAGTGCTGAGATGTAGCTCAGTGATAGAGCATCTCTGGGTTCAACAATCTCCAGCTCCAGAGGCGGGGGTGGGGGCAGCGTGCCTCTGTATATATGAGGCAGGAAGGTGACAGTCTGTGGGAAATGCAGATTGGGCCAGGGGAGGGCAAAAGAGAGGTCACTCATCAACAGCCCTGTATTGGTAGAAGACATCCTCCACCCCCTACCTGTTTGGGACTGAGTTCCCTGGGCTGGCCACTGCTGGAATCCAGTGCATTTGGGCTGCTGACCCTCCTCCAATTCCTTCTCACACTTCCCCAAATTCTTTTTCTACATCCTGCAACCTCAACCTGGGCAGACTCCATGATCAGCTTCAGAGACTCCAATTTCTACTTTTTGCTAAAGTCCACGAGAAAGCACAAAGATGGAAGCAGGAAGGACCATGGAGACAGGGAAATTTGGGTTCCAAACCCTGATTCTGTCACTCCCTGCCATGACTTGACAAGCCATTCTCCTCTTGGCAGCCCTGTAAGCAGGTAGAATGATCTGAGAATGGGAAGGGGTTGGCAGGGAGAAGCTGGAGCTGAGACTTGCCGTGAAGCTGGAGCCCTTGTGCCAGTGAAGATGTAAGATGTACAGCCGTGTTGGCAAACAGTTTAGCAGTTTCTCAATGCATTATAGACTTATCACACTCCAGCAGTTCCATTCCTGGTATTTACCCAAGAGAAACAAAAACACACATCCCTGCAAAGACTTATATACATATATTCATAGCAGCATTGTTTATAATATAAACATTATATTGTTTATGTAAACATTGTTTATATATAGTCAAAAAATGTTAACCACCCAATGTCCACAGACTGGTGAATGGAGAACAAAATGTGCTTTATCACTATAGTGGGATATGATTACTCGCTAAAAAGGAACAAAGCTATACTGGCTGCAACATGAATGCAACTCAAAACATGTCCAGTGAAAGAAGCCAGATGCAAAAAACGATGGGTCATATGATTACATTTGAATGAAGTACCCATAAAAGACAGAAGCATATTAGTGGTTGCTTGGGGCTGGGGGTGAGAGTGAGGAGTGACCCCAACACAAGTGCAAGAGACCTTTTGGGGAGAAACATTCTAGAGTTGGATTTTGGTGATGATTGTGCAAGTCTATAAATTTGCTAAAAATCTTTGAATTGCACATTAAAATATATAAATTTGATGGCATATAAATTACACTTAAATAAAGCTGCTTAAAAAAAAAAAAAAGGGAAGAAGAATGTTTACCTCCCAAACAGTGCAAGGACCCTAGGGAGATGGCCCAGGTAGTGTGCATGGAACCTGTATCCTGTCTTTGCCCCTCTGCCAATTCTTCCTTCCCCAGCACTAAGTCTTCCCGCTGCCCAGCCTAGAAAAGGTAATTTCCTTCTGAGGCACTTCTAGAAACTCATGCACCACTGCACTCACCTGTTCCCCAAGGTTGCCAAGACAAGCAGAGGTAAGTTCAAGCCTTGTGATCTGGTCCTAAATCCTCCCTCAAGCCAAAATTCTTAACTTGAACATTCATCATCTTTTTTTAATATTTATTTTTTAGTTATAGTTGGACACAATATCTTTATTTTATTCATTTATTCTTATGTGGTGCTGAGAATAGAACCCAGGGCCTCATATGTGCTAAGCGAGTGCTCTACCACTGAGCCACAACCCCAGCCCCTCATCATCTTTTTTTAAAAAATTTTTTAATAAAAATATGATACTTGTTCTAAGAAACATAAAACAATTCAGTAGTCTATGATATAAAAAGTGATAGGTTCGGGGCTAGGATTGTGGCTCAGCGTAGAGCGCTCGCCTAGCGCGGGCAGGATCCGGGTTCGATCCTCAGCACCACATAAAAATAAAGGCATTGTGTTGTGTCTATCTACACCTAAAAAATAAATTAATATTAAATAAATAAATAAAAAGTTATAGGTTTGTCTTATATAAATATAAAGCTAGGTTTTATTTTGTTGTTGCTGCAGTTATTATTTTTTAGTTATTTTATAAGTAAAATAAATATATTTTACAATATATTTATTTAACTTATTTAACTTATATACATATTTTACATATATATATATTTACAATATATTATTTTTACTTATAAAATAATTTACTTATAAAACTTACAGGGGGTTGTGCTTGGGGCCTTGGGGCCTCATGCAATTGAGCCACACCCCCAGCTCTGCTCTGTGTGTGTGTGTATGTGTTTGTGTGTTTTAGTTAAAAAGGGGGGAGTCTTACTATTAACATATTAATCAAGGGCAGAAAACTTCAAAATGCCCATGAGACATTTTGGTGGCTACTGTATCAGCACCATAATAAATAATGTATAATAATAAATAATAAATGAATAAAGTGCTCTAGGATTTGCAAGTGAAACCAGAGGCACAGTCTTTATTTTCACAAAGAAACAGGCTCCTTCCTATCTTCCTTGAGATGCACAGCCATCAAGGTCCACATTTTGTTTCTCTGCCTCTTATAGAAACCCTGAATAGCAAGATATTTCTCTATTATGAGAAAAGTTTCAGAGATCTATTGTACAACACAATGGCTTTAATTAATAACAATATGTTATATTTTTGATAATAGCTAAGGATAGATTGTGTTCTTATTACAAAAAAATAGTCTGTGAAGCAATGCATATATTAACTGGCTCAGTTCAGCCATTCCACAAT